CAAAAATAATTACTATATTAATAATAACTGCTGCAAGATGCCATTTAATCTGCACGCGCAACGTCAAAGCCTTAAAGTAACACAATCAACTTTTATCAGTTGGATTTAAAACAAAAAAATGATTGCTTTCATACTTATTAGTTGTTCCTTTCGTATCGTTTTCATTTCAGTTCTATTTTGTCAATACATGCATTTCAGTGTCTGTTGGCTAGATCGCGTTCTTAATATACACAGTTTGTACTTATCAGACTAGTAACTATAAGCGTCATACAATGCCTACTTTTTAACATTCGGATCATTGCAATTGCACTTCGCTTATAAGAATTTGAAAAATATCAGTGTTGCAAAGTTCTAAACACTAGCAGTACCTACCCGATCAAACAATAAGTGAAACCAAACGGTTCTTTTTTAAATATAAATATTTTCAAACGAACGAAAAAAAGGTAGGTACCGGAAAATAAAATATTTATTGTAATGACCCATTTTTAATACCCCTGCTAGAAAGAAAAAAGTTTGCAACCAGAATAAAACGCCTGAATTTATAGAACAAAATATAAAATTGCTACTGTTTAACATAATATATTATGGTCATAAAGAAAATATAGTTAACGATATAAAACTACTATTTTGTTTTCTGAATTGTGATAAGATCAGTCTCAAAAATATAATAAGAATCTTAAATATATAAAATATCTTTGTTGCTTTTTCCGATTGAGACTTATTAACATTACAATTACTGATCAATTTACTTACAATATATGTTCTCACATGATAATTATTTAAATTTTACTTCAATAAAATATTGTTTGATAGGTACCTGCGTAAAAATTACTTACTCATAAAATTAAACAAATAACTACCAAATTTGTAAATCCTTAGAAATAGAACAATAATTACTGTAATAATTACGGTAATGTAATGTATATTATCACAAAAGAAGAATAACACAAGTTAAAAACACAACTTTACAAGAGCTCCCAAAAATTTCACTTTTGCAATGTCAACAACAATCGACAAACTAACACTTTGCCTTACAACATTAATTTTATCCTACATCTTATCCATTAATTATTGTGATTACATGGTTCTATAATCGATGACCACATGGTACTTTTTTCCTTATTAAAAATTAGCACGTTACTCAAGTATTTGCCGTATCCCACTAAACAACGAACGCTATGTATTGCGGTAGAATAAACTGGTGCTTTGCGACGTTATGAGGTTATCACTTAGCATTACTATCTCTAATAAAAAAATCGCAGTAACTACGCATGCGCACAAAACAAAACGAACAAACATCTAAACAATTGAAAACATTACATGTATTATATGTAGTTATATATACAATATACGATGTTTATGATTTTAGTACAAACGTTCGTTTTAAAAATTACAGATAGTATCAAAATAACATCAAATATGTGCATTTATGCGCAAGCGACAAAAATAGTCATTAAAAGCCGTTTATGTAGCATCAGCACTTTCTTAATTACAAGGCAAAGTCTACTTTATTTTTTGTAACTACTGTTAATGAAAATTTCTGCTCTTAAATTATTAAATATTTTCATTTTGTAAGAATTCACTGAATTCCAAATTATCCTTGTTTTAACAAACCACTTTTTAATACAAATGGTGACCTCAAAAGGGGCTGCTTTTCAACTTTTGTTTTTTAGTTTTAAAAAGGAAATCTACTTATTTATTCCAAATCGGAAATGGAACCAAAAATAATAATACAAGTAATTAAAGAGAAATACGATTTATTGAATTAATCGATTCTTGTATGAATTTTGGATTGCAAAATTATTTTCACAATATGATACACGATTTATGTAAATATAACGTACTCTCTAAGTTATGCGCCTTAATCTACTTATGGGATAAAATATATAAACGGTAAATATGTATATGAATACTCNGATGATGCACACAGTATTGATTTCGTCTTAGGTACATCATATTTATAGCCCCAAAATGAACACAATATTGGGATATTATTTAGTGTACGGTCAGTCTCCGAATCGCGAACAAGCTTTCTTCCACTTGCACTGGGTGCACCACTGTTCTCTATTCTCCATACCGTACACTTTTCGGCACTTTTTATTCTCGCCCCGTACACGACGCGGTGAAGCGGGCATTTTTGGACTGTGGGGTCGTGGAGACAACTTTAAAAGTTTATGGGGAGACTGTGGAATATTTATAGGACCTGAATAAAGTGACTGTCTGAATGATCCAACTACCTGCCGTTGATATTCAGGGTCTTCGTGGGGCGGCCTTGCCATGTCACGATGAAGCATTGTGGGGGTAGAACTAGTCGGTGTCACTTCTACTTCTGTTTCGGTATAGTAAAATTCCTCTTCGCCCTCTGCTATTGGATCGCTGCATTCCCTAGAAGAAGAGTAAAAGTCACAATCAGGATTACTTATTTTTTTAATATTTACGCATTTATTATTACATAACCTACTTTGTACACATTAATGCTCAAAGCTCGCGCCTTAAGCAGTTGCACGGAATAAATTGAATCTGAGCTAATCATTACCACTATTCAATCGAAAACACAAGAATAAGGTAGGCATTTTTTTTCAATAAAACCTGTTAAAACAAAATAATACCACAGCAAAATGTGAAATAAGGAATTTTGGGATTTAGTGTTTTATTTAGTTTAGTTCCACTTAACTTCATTTGATTTTATTGTTTTTTGTGCAACAAAAGTTCTTAATTTATCGTGAATAACGAAATTAAAAGTTAAACATACTTCCTTACCATATTCATTATAGTGATTTTGCAAAATGTTCAGTGAACTGGTAAATTTGGAGAATATCTAGACATTTTGCGTATAGCCGGATAGTGTAACATATATAAATAACAACGAATTAGTTTACCATTTAGCTTTGCGCACCTTATATATAAGGGGCTGTCCATAAATTACTTAATATTCATTAATTTTTTACCGCCCTTCCCTTTACATAACAACATCATAAAACATATGTTCACTTTTCCCACCTCCCCATTCCGTTACTTAACACATGCATGTTTTAGTGTTGAAATTAAATAAGGGTTTTTAACTCCCAATAATAATAAATAAACAATTGCAATTTTTAGTGACTACCGAAGTGAGATGTCACATTGCTACATAACGGAAATTTATTTATAGGACGACCTATTGCTACATATCGCCAACACCAACATTCCAGTTCTGAAATCGTTATAAAACGCAAGCCTTTATCACCATTTCCCCCTACGTAAGTCCACACTGAAGCCCAAACTGTAAGCTTTTCATCGAAAAATTTTTCAAACAAAACCTGTTCCCCATTTTGATACATGATCGTTTGTATTATTAAAATTCGATTTTCTATACAGAGTGTTCAAAAATAGTTATAATAAAAAGCTATTCAGAATGTCAAAATATGGAGCTCTGCAAACAAAAGATTACGGCGATATTCAAATGTATTTTGAGCCAAATGGCCCAAAAGCTAAACTGAAAGTTTAATCAAAAAATTTTTCAAACAAAACATCTTCCCTATTTTAATACAAAATCGTCTGTGTTATCCGAATTTGATTTCCTATGCAGAATGATTAAAAAATACAAAAAATAAGGTTTCATTTAAACGACAGTCATGTGATATATGGCTTCAATCGATAAAAGTTGTTCAGAAAAACGAAATATGGTGCTTTGCAAAAAATCGCGGCGAAAATTACTATGTGCACGTTTACGTAAACTATTAAACAGATGGATAGGTAGTAACGTATTCCTATAAATAAACGATAAGACGTGGCTCGTTCATTTATTTCAAAATGGAAAACCAATATAACAGAAATCGTCAACTTAACCTTATCAGAGATATACTTATTAGTTAATGTCCAGATTCTTACCAATTAAGTTTTTTCAAACCTTTACCATTGAATTTTTAATGATATATCTATTAGTATCCTTACACGAAATTCGAACTAGAAAAATAAAACAAAAAATTTGGTAGGATATTAGCTGGAAATTAAATTTAGAACACCCGATATAAATATGTACATGTATACATGTATTATTTTAATAACTTTAGCTAGCCTGGGACTAGTTCTATATAAATCGGAAGGTTTGGCAAACGCAGGTTTGCCTGCTGACCTTAAACTTATAAATTATAATTAGATCCTACCAAATNCTGTATTCCTTAAAACTGCAACAAACTCCATATTTATGTTTTTTTATTATCGTGCACCAAAAATAGAATTCTTTGTTACAAAAACTAACCTAATTAAAAATTTAATAGAATTTAGTTCTTCTAATCTATCGTTATAATAAAAGAACAAATATTTTTAATGAAAGTATAGTAACTTCAAATGCAAGTTGGTCATAATAGGAATTTTGTGGTTTTCGAGATCGATAGAAACCCCAAGAATAGGTACAAAGCACATGTGACAAGAATCGTTAAGGACAATTAAAATAATACGTTAAACTCATTTGTGCAAAGGCCATAGAACTATTAGCATCGAACTCTTATATAAGCGCATTAAAATTAAGACAAAAATATTGATATGAAAAAATTCAGTCATAAATCATTAAAAAAACATTTTCTTTACTTTTTTAAAGCTACAATTTAGTTTTCTACAGTTTTTTTTATAAAATGCATACTTTTCGAGTTGTTCGCGAATAACCAATTGAAAACATTGATCTCTTCTATCAAAAACTAATACTTTCAGTCGAAATGTATTAATTTTACAATAAAATTTTTACATTTTTTGCTTAAAATTAATTTTTCTATCTCTTTCTATAGTCAAATTATAATAAAAAAATCCATCCCCCAGATGAGGGGATAACAACCCCCACAGTAAAAGCGCTGTTTGGCATATAGATATTTATTCTTGGGCTATTCCTTACCTACTGTCGAAATTTCAAATTAATTGATTCATTTTGAAAAAATTGCTAGGTCGAAACCTCCGTTTGCTGGACTACATGGCTATTTGAACCTTCCACTGGTAAATGCATCCCAAGTATACGGATCTCAAGTAACAAGCAAACGTTAAATGACGTCCGACACATTTCTGAAGAATATTTTTGCCGCAACATTTGTATCTTATTAGATGTGTGGCCTGACTTACTAACACCACACCTACGTATATGCAATTGTTTTATAGAAACCATCCATTTTGAGTGTGATAAGGTTTTTTAAAACAAAATAAGTTTATATTGTTGGGTGGTTTAGCTATATTTTAAATATATTTTTATAGTTCCAAATACACACTTGATATATCGTTTAATTAAGTCACTTATCTACTAATTTTAAAGTAAGTACATTATAATTTTCCTTTATTGATACGTAGGAGAATAAACTGTTTCTAAGTTTTATTAAACAACTTTTATAATACGATATGCTCAGGTACATATTATATGTAGAAATTATAAAAGGAAGTTTAGGTTTGAAAAAAAAAACGCAAGTACTCACTTGAGATGGTCGTTTCTAACGTGAGCCTCAATCGTTTCACAGCTGTTCGTTGTAGTCATACATCCCCTCCAAGTACATTGAAAAACCTTGCGCGTCTGTTGGGGCAGTTGAAACTAAAAAGAAAAGAAAAAATCCTATAAGACTTCATCACGTCAAGGGTACGACTATGGAAACAAAATAAAAATACCAAAAGACTAATGCACGCATCAGTCGTCAATAATAAATAATGTATTTTAAGGATGCACGGAGGGTGAAGGTCAATGAACCGATTCAAGGGTGATTTGACTTGTAAAACGAAAACATTCTTTAATAAAGATATTTGATCAATTGCAGATATTTTTTCAACAAAAACCAAAATAGGTAAAGTTCAACATTTATTATATATTTATTTGTAATTTCATCGTTGTTTATGAATGTATTCTTTGTTAGTACCCGGAAGTAATAACTTTAGAGTCTAGGTCAAAATGCACATATATATATATATTTGCTACACAATATTGAATTTTGCCCCTCCACTGTTTTTCCGGATTTTCCGAGGAGGCCTGTCGTATGACGCGCCAAGATGGCGCCCTGCGATCAATATGTTGGTATACAAATGCACGTGTATGTTCCATTAGTGCCGTTGCGGGCCAGGGACATAAAGTCCAGAATCGAAGGCAACTGCGCTGTCCTTGAGCTCCATTTCAAAGCCTTGGCCCAACAGCTGAAAAGCGGGAGACATCATGGTGGAAAATTCTACGTGGGTTATTTATAGACTGCACAGTGCTAAATTCTTGGTCAATTCAGAAATTTAAAAGAAAACAGAAGAATGCAAAAAATATATGTCGAAAAATTGCTAACAACTATCAAAAAGGGATTTATGATCTACAAAACAGGAAAACACTTTTTTCGGCTTAACTAACTAGTTACAAAACGGTAAAACAGATTAAAATGGTACCTATGTATGTATATGTAAATAAAATGTTCTAGATATTTTTAAAACTATTTGATGTCAGGACAGATTTTCTAATTCGCAATCCAAAGGTTAGATTAGATTAAAAATAGAGATGTGATTTATTTAAAATGCTTGCATTGTAAATAAATGCAAATACAAAATACAATTTTCTATTTTGCATTTAAATACTTTTTTGATAAAAGCCATTTGTATTTTATTTATTCAAAATACTTTTTTGCTGTTAAATTTGGTATTATCACCGATCAAAACGTTATACATAAAAATGAACGAGTTACTCACATTGGCCACTAGAATATACCAACTGTATTACAAGAAGACAATGAGACATTCTGTAAATCAGAGCCAAAACGGTATTGTGAATATTTTTTTGATGTTTTACATCAATAAAATTATTTACAATCCTATTTTAACTCTAATGTTTTATGATAAAGGATTTAAGACTTGTGCTAGATAATAAGAGAGCATGTACAGAAATTGTTTGTTGCTGAACTAAGAAAACTGAAACATGAAGATATAAAAAATCTCAATCACTTTAAGCAGAAAAAATTCATGAAAAAAATGAATCTAATTCTATGTTTTTAGCATGATGATGATATCAGTTCAGAGTGATACCATCATCGCAAACAAATAACTTTAAAAAACCTTGGTAAAGGTCTAGGTGATATTAGGAGGTCTCCCCCACCACTGTACCATAAAAAGTTCGTGGCGGGCTCACCCCCATAAAAAGTTATGGGGGGTAGATGATGGGAATCGAAAGAGGGTGGTCACCTGAGTAAAACCCCATAAAAAATTTGCGACGGTCTCACCCCCATAAAAAGTTATTGGGGTTGAAAGTTGATTATTTTGACAATTTTCATACACTATAATTCAAATAAAATTCAATAAAATAATTATTTTCAAGCGGGTGGAGGTGGGGGAACGAAAGAGGGTGGTCACTTGAACAAAACCCTTTAACCTAACCTATTGATAAAGATATTTAAATAATGTTTTATATAACTCTCAATATTTTTATGTATTTTTCATTAGTTTTACCTTTGAAATTGTTTAAGAATAACTATATAAATATTTACTATGCCCAATTGGCATATTTATTAACTTTGAATCCCCATAACCCTTCGGGAGTGAGGGCCATCATCTAGACCTTTACCAAGGTTTTCTATAGTTATTTGTTTGCGATAATGGTATCACTCTGAACTGATATCATCATCATGCTAAAAACATAGTTAGATTCATTTTTTTCATGCCTTTTTTCTGCTTAAAGTGATTGAAATTTTTTATATCTTCATGTTTCAGTTGTACCAAAACGTTAAAGGTAACTGTTTATTTTATAGGCAATACCAACGATTTTGTCTATCGTGTTAGTTAAGAATAGATACTTAATAGAGGATTGATAGAACGGTATGTACAGGAGTTAAACTAAACCCATAACTAAACGAATCCATCAAAAATAAGGATCTTTTTATGTTATTAATCAAACCGTATATATGCACTCTTTCTTTCAGCTAAAATTGTTCTATAAGCTGGTACAGGAATGACCTACATTTCTCCCTTTATTTGGGGAAACTAGGTTGCAGTGGTCTCCGCAACTTCGTTAATCGATTTTATACTGCCATCTGCGTGCCAGTTACGTATCCATATTATATGATTTTCATTTACAACACTTAAACGCACTAAGATTTGGTAAAAACTAGTATTATGTTTGCTACGAATCACGTTAACAAATTAAATGATGAGCCATATAAAAGTAAACCTACAATTAATAAAAAATTAACCAATTATATTTAACAAATTTATCGGTAGAAAAGAAGGAATTGTAGTAAGTATGCTCTCCTCAATTAAAATAACGTCATCTATGTATGTAACACTTCATTTCTCTAACTCGAGAGTGAGGCTTTTATATTATAAATTATCTCTTTAATACAAAATTCTATTTATTTTCTTCGGAAAGTATTAAAACGTTATTGTAGAAAAGAATAAAACCAAACTGATGTTCAATATCGAATCCTATTGAATTGTGACTCAGCAAAAAGAAAATCGTTCGTACACACACATAGACAGATCTCGTATTATAATCGCTTATTATTATTCATTAAAAAATACATTCTTTAGAAAAGTATCCTACCTGTTCGAAAACACATTTAAAGTTAGAACGTTTGTACAGGTATTTCATTCTGTTTTAACAGTTTAGAATTTAAAATTAATTCCATTTTTTGTCGATTACATCAAACTTAACTTGAAAATATTTTTTTTTAAAGTGCCAATTCTGAAGCAAATAGGTCCATTATACAATACATAAATATGTACATTATTATACATATAGGCTTCAGTATATAGCAAATAAAGTTATAAAAATAAATAATGTCACATAAAATACCTTTCGCACTACTAACTAATTAATGTTCTAATTAACTTTCAAATAACACCACTATATAATTACTTTCACAACTAATTCGCGCACTGAATCGTTTCTTCTCTCATCTTATTTCGCTTTCTGTAGCCTCCCTTTTCTTATCTTTCTGCAACTTTTTATAAGGACAGTCATTGTCGTAAAAAGATTTCAGGAACTAGGTTCTAAAGAATTCTGGCTTTCTCTCGGCAACCCAATATACGAGGGTGGATTGATAAGTTTCCGGCCTAACCAAGAGATGACGCCACTAGGCCTACCTTGAGGTGACATTCTATAGTACCATCCTTGGATAGCTTGTAGCTATAGTTTCAGCCCGATCTCCTTGCTAGTGTAGGTTTGACAGCACGCTGAACAAGACGCCTCTGTGGTTTTCGTAAAAATGGAAAAGCAGGAAAATCGTGCTGTCATCAAATACTTTTATTTGAAGGGGTTAACGCCGAAGGAAATTAAAAAAGAGATGGACTCAACACTGGGGACATCCTCCCCGTCATATTCAACCGTTAAGCAGTGGGTTTCCGAGTTTAAAAAGGGTCGTGTGAGCACCTCTGATGGGCCTCGCTCAGGACGCCCCGTTGAGGTCACAACTCCAGATATGATCGAAAAAATTCATCAAATAGTGCTGGGAGACCGCAGATTGAAAGTGCGTGAGATAGCTGAGACCTGTAAGATGTCATATGAACGTGTGCAACATATTTTGCACCAACATTTGCATATGGAAAAGCTCTGTGCAAGATGGGTGCCGCGTTTGCTAACAGTCGACCAAAAATTGATTCGAAAAAACATTTCTACCGCAAATTTGTCATTGTATAAGCGTAATCCAAGCGAATTTTTGCGTCGATTCGTAACCGTTGACGAAACGTGGGTCCACCACTACACTCCTGAAACCAAAGAACAGTCTAAACAGTGGATTGGACCAGGGGAACCAACTCCAAAGAAGGCAAAAACAATTTTTTCGGCGAACAAGGTTATGGCTACTGTTTTTTGGGATGCAAGAGGTATTATATACATTGATTACCTTGCAAAGGGTAATACTATCACTGGTCAATACTACGCAGACTTATTGCAACGTTTGAGCCACGAGGTGAAAATTAAACGACCTCATCTGGCGAAGAAAAAAATCTTGTTTCATCACGATAACGCACCAGCGCACACGTCAATCGTTGCGACGGCTAAAATCAACGATCTAAAGTTTGAATTGATGCCGCACCCTCCTTACTCTCCAGACCTAGCCCCGAGTGACTATTTTCTGTTCCCTAATCTCAAAAAATGGCTTGGCGGTAAGAGATTTGCGGACAATGAAGAAGTAATCGAAGCTGTAAATGGTTATTTTGAGGAGCTTGACGAATCAGTCTATAGAGATGGCATTAATAGACTGGAACACCGCTATGAGAAATGTAGTATCAGCCTTGGAGGAGATTATGTTGAGAAATAAAAAAAAAAAATTTTTAAAAACCTTGTTTTTCTTGGTCAGGCCGGAAACTTATCAATCCACCCTCGTAGATGGCTTCTTCACGTATGGTCAGTTAACTACACGTAGCAGTAACCCCCATCTAATAATCAGCGGTCAAGGTGGATGTACTTCATTTTGGCCTGAAATCCTTTCTGAATTCCATAGGTAAAGTTGTTGGTGCATCAAATAACAATGAAAGGATCATCCCAAAATTGTTGTAGTTTCAGGTAATTCCATCTTAATGGATGGTATAGCCACACTTTATCATGGGATCATCATGTTTTTGTAAACCTTTTTGAAC